TCTCTCTCTCTCTCTCTCTCTCTCTCTCAATAACCTTAGGAAACATTCTAATAAGAAGTTTGCATAATCTCCTGGCAATCCCTGTCAAGATATTGAATTCTGTATTTCAGGAGAGTACATCCCAATCAATAAGGTTTCCTTATTCTATCCTGCTTTTCAGCTTCCTTTATCAAACACCTTCAGAATCTCCCTCTATGCATACTCCCATGGCTCCTACTAGTACACACCAGGGCACATTTTCTATCAGGATTAAACTTTAACTTAGACTTTTAGTAATTGTTGGTGCCACTTTTTTTAGGCCTAATATTTAGGAGGAGAGAAAAGAATAAATTCTAAGAGGGGAGTAGGTTAAAGAAGAGAGGAAGAGCTAGCTCTAAACAGGGGGGAGTGGACCACTTCTGAAGGCTAAGGGAATCTAGGAACCAGGGAGTCTGGTCTTCAATTTTATCTTTTCTCCTCCTGGTTTGTATGCTATCAGGATCACCCTTGGCTTTCACATTTTTTTATAGCTAGTGAAATCCCTTTTCAAGTATACAATTTTGATTAACCACAGATGCAAATTTTATAATTTATATTGCCATTAGTCTATTAATCTGTGATGAGTTCCTTATTATTAACTTGACTATGTTTTATGATAAATCCTCCTTCCAAGTACCACTTCTGGTGCCATCTCAGATAGAATTCCCTGGAGAGCAGGTTCTGGCTGGAATTTACCATTTATGGTATTTATTAGAGTGTTTCTTTGGGATCAAACCTTGTGGAAAGGAGGGAAAAAAAGCAAGATTGGGCAGAAAGCAAGGTCAAGCTATGATAAAACCAATAATACTGTTGGCTTACCTACAGTGACCTCCTGAGCTAAAATTGAATGTCAGAGTCATCCTGCTTTGGCCCCAAATTTCATATCATTCATATGTCACCCTTGTCACTCATTTTGTATGGGCCTCCCTGGGAATTATGTCACTTTCAGTGAAGCTGCTTTTCACACCTGAGATAGTTCCTGTGTATAAGGCTTTCGTACATAATATGAATTTATAGATATCTGGGATTACAAATAGGGTTTGATGTGATCCACTTACCAGCTATGGTTAGACCTTTGTCCTCAAGGAATTCTTCCTAAAGCTCTTTTCTAATTATTTATTTCCTTTTGATATCAAGTATTGTCCCTTCCCACACCGATGACTTTAACAGTTCCAAAGGAAGTATGTCATCCTTTGGCACATCTTTGCTTTACTTGGATTTCCCCATACCTTTTTATCTTATGAGACATGAAAATAAAGATTTTAACCTGGGAAAATCCATCAATGAAATAAACAGTCTCTTTTACCTCGTTTGTGAGAGTCATGGATTTCAGATCATAAAGGATGGGAATATCCAGCTCTTCAGTGAGCTCTGCCATTAACATTAAAGTGACCTCTTTATTCATATATATGTGATGAACACCCACTGAAAATTTCCCCTTTTTCACGTTCTTAAATATACCATTTATTTATTTATTTATTTATCTATCTATCTATCTATCTGTTCTCTCTTCACCATTTCTCTGGTGTTATTCAAGACTTCATAGGTAGTGTTAATCTCAGCATTGTCTGATATTTTTTTGCAGTGTGCACCATCTTAGCAACACCCAGTAGCAAGCTCATTATGTTCTTTCACAAGAACCATACAGAGTATCTTAATCAGGTTGCTTTTGAATCTCAAACTTCAGCAGTTTTTAATGAAGAACAGTATTCAATTTCTGCCATATGCTCCAAATCACATGTGATCTATTTGCAGATAGATAGTTCTAAAATCAAAGGTGCATTTGTGTTTAAAGATTTAAGAGAAATGCCTGGGATGCACATATATGAAAATCCTTTGATATTTTCCCCTTCAGATAAAATTTTCATTTATTCTTTGCGAGTCTATTGTCATAACTTGTGTCAGTCCCATGAACAGACTCTCTTGTCTGTACGTAAGATGACCCTGTTTAGAGAAGAAGTTAATGGAAACCAGCACCCAGCTTCAACCATTTCCTTATTCAAAGTAATGGTCTCTTAATGCTTTCTTGGAGTTGTATACTGTTTGTCATTTATTACCAGACAGGATTCCAGCAATACCAAGTTTTCTCATTTAGAATGTTCAATTATAACATCATAAAGGGCAGAGTTTGCTATAACTTACTGACATTAGAATGGTCAGCTCTGAATTTAAACTATGATATATAAAGTGAATCTAGCAGGGGCTTTTTCAAGGTGCAGGGGTCAAGCCAAACTTTAAAGATGCTTTCCAAGTCCCCAAGGGTTGGTAATGTATTATGAGTATTCTAGTAAGGATCCTTTCAATTTCCCTTTATTTTCCCATCTTCAGCAACATTCTTAAAAGCCCACCCTGTTGAAGTCGTTAATGATCCCCTTTTCCCTTTTCATTTCCCCTTCCATATAATACAGTCTTCCCTTTGGAAAGAACAGATCTTCCACTTATTTATTCTTATAAGTGACAACTGGTCTACTCATTCAGGTAATTTCACCTGAAAAATTTCTTGGCCCCTAACACATTATTTTGTGCAACACCTGAGATTGAAGAACTTACTTTTGCAGCTCCTTTCATTGGTCAGTTACCAGCATTAAATTGTCTTTTTGATCATCATAGAGTCAACCTGAGAATACCTGTGATCGCATGTTCCCAATACTTTAGAAGGAGTAGTTCATGTCTTAATAAAGCAAGGAGTATCTCTATATGGGGTTGTGCTCTCAGGATAAATCTGACAAACTCTCATGTTTACCTACTGCATCAAATTAGTTGTCATACTATATTCGTGATGCTCTTCAAAAATATTACATACAATTGCATATGTCTGGTCCACTCAAATAATTCTCTCCATCATCAGTGTATAGAATTAGTAATGGGATCCCCTGGTCATTTATTCTGAGAATTCATGTAGCAGGGACTCTTCAGTCTTCTGAAGAATTTATGTAGAACATGCAGCAGCTATTCAGCCGACAGCCCCTCTCTGGATCTCTTGGATATCTGGTTGTGGCCCTTGATTCCCTTTATAATCTTTTCAGTGATCAATGTTCATAAGCAAGTTACTTTGTGAATGATATATCTCGCAAGGGGACCATAGTAACATCAAAAGATTTCTCATTACTGGCGGGGGGGGGCGGGACAGGGGGAGGAAGGTTTTTTTCTTTATGTTCCAACTCTTTACTTGGCCCTTTAGAGTTTGAAGTTTCATTAATGACATCAGTAGCAGCTTGGAGTTCTCTCTCCAATTAGCTAATTTCCCTAGGTCTAAGTTTATTTTCTTCAAAGTCAATCGGTAAGAGTTGCCCTCAGAATCTTCTACATTTTTCACCATTTGTTATTAAAGAAGTGTAGGAAATAATACTGCTCTCAAACTCTCATCAAGTTTTTTTTTCCCCTCTCTTTTCTGAACAAAAACTTCCTTTGGTTTGGAAATAATTTTGTTACCTCTATCAATAAGTGACATAAACATTGAATTGTCAAAGTAGTCTCAATATGAATCCAAAGCCTTTCTAACACAAAACTTTTCTAACATGTAGCAAATTATACAGTCAAACTTCAAGCACAATATGCAGAGAATGAATTGCATTCCTGCAGTCCTTTTCTTCTCTTAGGCTTTTGCTCTCTTTCATCCTAATTAATTCCCTTTGACCACTCTTAAGTTCCTCAACGGTAACAAACCTTGCCTTTCCCAAAGCTCTGTACTAGCAGCTACCCTCCAACTCTGCTCAGTGTGTGTCCTAAATACTCTATTTGTATCTCGTAGAGATTGGCTATTTTCCCACTACATATAAATTCTCTGGCTGAAGCAACTCTTCCATTTAGAATCTCAGCACCTATTTTCCTTTTTGTTAGTTCTTTAGTATTCTCAGTTCCTGGGAATTGTTTTGATTTTTGTTAGTCAGGATTCATGGTTGAGAATAGAAATCACTCAACATTCTCAAGCATAAAGAAATCTAATACTGGAACTAATATGCTTACAAAATTGTGTTGGAGAAGTTATGGGGTCAAGAAATGTTATTGCCCCTCAGCGATCAGGAAAGAGGCATTGAGATAGCACCACTGTCAATCCATAGCTATGACTCACCCAGTTGATTTCATTGGTGCAGGCTGACAGACTGGCTCCAGCAGATGGGCCGTCTGCTGGGTCCTGCTTATCAGTCTGCTCCCCTAAAATAGCAGAGTGGTCTCCATTCCTTCCATTTTCCAAACATAAATGAGTAGATATCTTAGTGGCAGAAGTTAATCTCATCTAGACTTTTTGCAAAGGTACTTGGAAAATGTAGGTTTAGCTGTATTGTCCCTGTGGTACAAGGGGTGGAAGCATAAAATAAGAAAGGGGTTGAACATTTCATTGAGCATCAGATAACAATTTCCTAATAAATTTATCTGTTAGCTTTTCCAAAGAAGCTCATCTCACAGTGCCAATGTCCTGTGTCCAAGCTACTTCTGCCTCCTCCCTGCATTTCCCTGTCATGTCTTTTCAATAATTTAGTCTTCATAAAATGGCAGCTAGCTATTTATAATTTTAAAAATTAATGATAACAAATTCACATTTTCACTATTGGTGATATATTTGCATTATTAAGGTCTTCTGGAATCATTAACTTTATTCTCATGATGACTTTAATGGGAATTTCAGGTCTTACGACAGCTGACATGGGAAATATACTGCTTAGCAAGATTTTAGAGCCTTTCAATGTAGGACAACTCATAAAATCTGCTCTCATCGCCTTTGTCCCTAGAGCTACCCACAATCCATTATGGTGTAATATTGACCAATTTTTTAGTTTAAAGAAAAATTTTATTTGACCATAATACACTTTCTTTCAGTAAAATTAAGTACTTCTAGAAAGCTGATATTTTTGATGAGTGTAGAGCTTTTACTGTACTTGTACAGAACACCACAATAGGAACATTATTCAAAGCCAAATATTCAAGATATTGTGACAGAACAAAAGAAGAGAACAAAGAAAAGAATATAATGTTTTTCTGCCTCTGGGATATGAAAATCTGGAGTTACTGATGGCACTGATTTTTCTATGAGGCATATTATTCACTATTTTTTAACAAATTCTGCATGTTAATGAACCTCAGACACTATAAATATCATAGGCTAAGTTTTAATCAGATACAAACACATATAAAAACATCCCAAGTTTGTATAGAAAGTGCCAGGAAGAGGTACTCTTCCTTTACTAGATATCCAAAATGTGAATAATACCAAGATGCAAATTTAAGACAACAAAGGACAATATTTCCATTAAGAACTGAATAAAAACTGTGCTACTTACTAAATTACAAACACTGTATTACAATGATTGGAATACTCTTTTTTTTTTGTAATTTCTCCTGGGGGGATATCATTTCAATACTAATATGTCTAATGTTCAAGGACATTTAATATTTTGTTAAGTAGTAAAGGATGTTATTTGTGTAAGAATTGAGTCACCTATAAAAGTGGTTTTGTATAGCTGGAGGTTAGAAGAGGGGCAATAAAGCTAAGCATTTCAATTCTAAATGTCTTAAAGATAACCCCATCTGATTCATGCCCATGGTTAGTGGACTGCATGACACAGATAGATCCTGAAATATTGTAAGTTAAATAAATTACCAATGCTTCAGTAACAATATAAAATAAAATGTTCATTGTATGGCTAATCTTTAGGTAAGATGTGGGTACCGATTCAATATTTATTCTGTCTTATTTTGTGTCAAGCTCTGCATTAATCTCTTTCACATGTATCTCACTTCTTTCAACAATATGGGTGTTCATTGGTAGGACAAAACAGTTTTGGTTCATTCCAAAGTCATTTTACAGCATGAAGATTTAAATGAAAAAGAAGTTGTCAGAAACATTATAAAAGTAATGTTCGTTATTGCACAAAAACTATTTTGTTGTATTACATAGCAAGAAGCAGTAAGTTCTGACTCAAGATGTACATGCCTTTAGGAGGTGTGACTATGGCCTGGTTCCCAGTGACCTTGCATAATTTTCCTTTGAACTTCAACCCAAGACCTATTTACTCAACCTGAGTTCTTTCCTTTCCTCTTTCATTTAAGGTCAAATTTGAATTGGAATCAGATGCTTTTTTCAGCCTCCCTTGGAAGTCCCCATTTTCTATAACAGCTTGCTTGCTCCTTGGAGGACCTGGATGAGCATAGATACTGACTAGGTGAACCAGTTTTTCACCTGGGCAGATGTTTTACTTGTGTTGTTTAGTGTGCCATCAGAAAAACAATTATCTTAAGAGGCTGACAATCCTTGTATCTCCCAGAAATTGATCAAATTTTCAATCCTGTTAAAGAGAATTTTCTAGTTTTTCTTGCTCCTAAAAATGACTATGTTATATTTTTGCTTATTCTTTTTTCAGTCAATTCAATATATTATCAAGAGAAAGAGGTAGGCAATAGCATATGAGGAGGTAAAAGAGGTATTAACTAGCATAGTGAATGTCCCTACTTAAAAGTCCTTAATATTAGCTCCAGTAATGTCAAACTCTGCTTAGTTTGTCTCTCTTAACATAGCCACTTTTATAAATTTCTTTAATTTTTTTTCTTTTATTTCTATTACCTAATATATGTACATTAACCTTAGTCAGCACCATTTAATCCTCAATTTAGATTTTTCTCCATCTTTCAAATGCTTACATTTTGTGCTTGCTCCCCATATCCACATTCTGGCTTGAAAGTATGTGTTCCTCTTAAACTCATATTGGAACTTACATCCTAGTGTGATAGTATCAAGAAGTGGGGCCTTCAAGAAGTAAGTCACCAGGACAGAATCCTCATGAGTGAGGTTGCTGACTTCATGAAAGGGCTAGTGAGATCTCTCCAGAGGACACAGCAACAAGGCACCATCTTGAAAACAGAGCAACAGGGCTTCTGGACTGGCCCAAAGACTTGGCACATTGATTTTGGACTTTCCATCTTTCACAACTGTGAAAAATAAATTTCTGTGGTTTATAAATTTGTGATTCTTCATTATTGAAGCACAAACTGATAAGACAATCAGTAATTAATTTAACCACTTCTACTGAAGGTCAGTTTGATGCCTGACAAGGAATAATACTTATAAAAAAGTGCTGTAACTTGGATTTATCCTCTGGAAATTAACATTGTACTGGATGTGAAATATTTTATAGCTCTTTTTAATAGCTAGGAGATACTTAAGGAAAATAGACCAACCCAATTATATAGCATTGACTCTTAAACTACTTTTTGTGGTCCATATTGTTTGTTATCCAGGCTACGTGAGTATTTGGAAAAGTAACTACAAGTACAGAAAACTAAAAACTGTGTATTATAGATGAAAAGTGAAGGACAATTTATGTAACTGCTACATAGAGGTTGCTATAGTAAGCATATTTTCCCAATCATATTCATAGCTTTTTTTTGTAATCATGGAAAACTGCTTATTGTGAGCCCTTATTACCCAATTGAAATGATTTCTTTTAAGGATAGAGCGTGATTGAGTTTTTTACCAACTGGAAGCTTATCATGAAACATGATTGCCTGTCTTAATGCATTACATACAATCAGAGAATATATGTTAATTAGGTAAATTTTCTGCAAGTATGTTTATGAAATGCTGCTTTTAGAAGACCTTGCATTCAAAATTGGCAAATGACATACTCACAGGACAAGGTCTGTCTTAGTCCATTTTCTGTTACTCTCACTGAATAGTATACACTAGAGAATTTATAAAGAAAAAGAAATTTATTTTTTTTTTAATTTGAGAGGCTGGGAAGTCTAATACCAAAGTGTTGGCATCTGGTAAAGGCCTTCTTGTCACAACATAGCAGAGGGCATCATGTGGAAAGAGAGCAAGGGAGCACAAGATCCTGTAAGCACAAGTCTCTTCCTCTTGTGAAGCCAATAATTTCATCCTGGGGTCTCATGACCACATCTAACCCTAATTACCTTTCCAAGGACCCACTTTCAAATACCATCAAGAATTTGGAGATTAAGTTTCCAGCAGCTGAATTTAAGGGGACATATTCAAACTATAGTAAATTCTAATTTCAAGAACAGAAATAAAAAATAGCAACAGTAATCTGTGTCCATTAGTGCCGTGAGAGCTACTGCCTTCTGATTGAATTTGAATTACTTTAAATTCAGATTTTATTTTAGAATTTGATGTTCACATTCATCTTACGATAACTCTTCTTTGTACAACTTGGTACCTGGCTTAGGGATAATTATTATATTTAATTAAGCTATATTTTATTATAGCACTCTTTATATCACAATCTTGATATGACTGGTCCTTTATTTCCCCAAGTTATTTTTATCAAATTTTAAACACAATAAAATAGTGAATACATAGTGAACAATTCTACCAATAAGATTATGTTATCGTTATTATACTGTATTTACCATGTACACAGTCCTCTATCCATCCAACAATATATCTTAATTTTGGATGCATTTAAAAGTTGCAGATACAATGCTTTAGCATGTATATTGCTAACTAAAGGACAATATTTCTCCATTGTTCCATTTGCTTTCTTTGAGGCAAAATTTATATGCAAAGAAATGCTTATATCACATGTTTCATTTCAGCAAAGTTTTGACAATTGTTTGATCTGTGTCACACAAATTCCCGTGGACATATTTCTGTTCTTCATTAAGCTTATAGCACCTTATAGCTCTTGGCTAACAGACATATTGACATCTGACTGAATTTAGCTGGGTCCAGATAATTCTTATTGGGAAACAAACTTTATTTATAATCAGAATGACTTTATGGTATCTTGATGGGTGGGACTAACCTGTATTACTATATAACATTGTTATTTCCTTCTTTGCATGGCAGCTGCTACCCAGCTAGTAGAATTTTGCTGCTTGTCACTTAGAACTTTCTAAGATTAAGGGGTGGGGTGGGCAGAAAGTTTCTCTGTTATTCTGGTCAAGAGTCAATCTTTAGTAGTTCCTGTGTGCCTGGACCTTAGAGAGGGACTTTCTCAGTATTCTTTACCTCTTATTGCCATGGTAGCCAAACTCTGTCTTGCATCTTTAGCAGAGTTTATTTGGAAGAAAGTATTCAGCAACTTTTGCACTAGTATTAGGACAGTATGCTAGATTCAGTACTTTTTATCTGCTGTTCTCTATGGAATAGAAAATTTTTTTTCTACTATACTTTTTGCAGCATTGACAGTTATTCCCTAATACCTGAAGATAATGGGTATTCTGGCCCTCCCCCAGTGGTTTAGGCTTTTGTTCCATTTGTGAAGATTGTGATAGGTATATGGGGAACTATGCCTGTCCTTTGGTGATGATTGATGTTCATGCTTCTGCAATCATTGGGGCTCTGTCTTGACTCCCATATTACTATTCAATTTTTTATTTAGTAAGGTTCATGGAAAGGTGAATATAAGCATGTGAAAATTTTGCTTAGGATTTGAGATCCCAGAGATTCCATATTGGCACACAAGTCCACATTTGAATGCAGGCATTCATTGTTTGTTATTAAATTTATTTCTTCTTATCAGATTGCATGGTAGATAATGCCTTTTTCTTGGGTTCTAGAGTTCTATCTCTCATTAGAGAGTCCTATTGCTCTTGGGTATTCAGGCTCCTTCATTGTCTTGCAGCCTCAGCTTTCTGATGAGACTGTGCTTTTAACAATTACTCTTACATGCCTTTTCACGTAGCTAGAAATTTGTTAATTTATGGCTTAATATGTATAATGCACTAAAGAGTTTCAATTTTATTCTGAAAGGCAAAAGAGAGGTAGAAAATGATTTTTAAGAAGGTAATAACATAGTCAGATTTTGCATTTAGAAAAATAACTACAGCAACAGTATTAAAGAGCATCTGTGAGAAGCAGAAAGATCAGTTAGGCCTGAAATATTCTAGGGGTGAGATTATGAGGACCTGAATAAGAAGAAATGGACCTTAACAATTTCAAGAAGTCTCCCATACTCAATTAATTGAAAGTAAGAATGGATTATACTAGTGTAACTACACATCCCAGTTGACCAGTATGTTTACTGAATACCTCAATTCATCATCAAAGATGTCCTAGTTGAAATTAAAAATTACCTTATATAGTCAACTTAAGCACAAGGTTTTTCTAAGTTTCCCAACTTGGGAAACTGAATTAGAGTCATTAAGACAGTTAGGATTTGCTTCAAACCAGGCCAAAGTCAGAAAAAGAAACATTCCTGAAATATTATTGAATTCCACATCAATTGCTAAAGTTCAGCTGAAAGTTGGATATATGGGACTGGAGATCAGAAGAAACGCTAAGGGAGAAGAGATTGATTTCATATTAATTGTACTGAGATTTATTGGTGTAAATGAAGTAATCTACAGAATGCAAACCTAGAAAAGCCAAGAAGGATCCTGATAGAGGGAAAAAAAATGGAAACTAGTGTAAAAAATTGCCATAAAAAGAACAAGAAAGTAGTGATTTCAAGTATGAATAGTCAGAAGTTTCAAGAGGTTCCAGGGTGAAGTAAAAGATAGACTTAAAATTAGTTGAAGGATTTCTCAAATCCAGACAACAAAGGAAATGCAAAACAAAGCCCAAAATAGAGTCTTATGCAGGTAGAAGTGTTTATAAGAAACACTCTTTCACACGTATCTACTCTTCTCATCCAATACTATGATGTCTCAAGCAAAGATTAAAGTTGTATAAAGTAATGGTACCATTCTCCAAAAGGTAGTGCCAATTTTTACCTCTTTTCTTTTCTTTTTTTTTTTTTTTGCTTGATGAAAAAATTTTGGCAAAATTGGAAATCAAATAACATAATTACATACATATCCAAACTTATAGGGCTCATTTGATGTACCATTGTCTTTTTTTCCTTTTTTTTTTTTCTTTTTGTGACCAGGAATTGAACCCAGAGTTGCTTAACCACTGAGACACATCCTCAATTTTTTTTTTTAATTTTTTAAATTTTGAGACAGGGTCTTAGTAAGTTGCTTAGGGCCTTGCTAATTGCTGAGGTTAGCCTTGCACTTGTGAACCTCATGCCTCAGCATCTGGAGTCACTGGGATTACAGGTATGCATCATAAGCCTGTATACCATTGTATTTGTACATTTTAAATTATTACAAATTTTTCTTTCCAGAATATCAGACTATGATATAAGATAGGGAGATGTTGGAGGAAAGGAAAAAAGAGTTTAACCTAAAAGCTAAAGGGAGTATGTGTAGTACACACATGTACAAGTATGTATCCCATTGTTTAATTGTATTAAATAATGTGATTAATTTATAATAAAAATCATATTCTGGGAGAATCATCTCAAACCGAGGTTTTCAGGAGAGTTGATTTTTCAGTGTTGAGGAGTCTACAATTGTCTTGTGTCCTTGTATGTCGACGAGTTTAACGTTAGCCTATCTTCCTATGTGAGAGAAATTATTTTATTTATCTGGATTTATAGCTTCTTCTAAGAGCATGCTTTATAGGAGTGATGTGTTCTTATCTCTCAGTTCTTCAGGTGTGAATCTTCAGTATTATTTGTACTTTATTCCATCATTTTTCATTTAATAATTTCAACCAATTTTGACATATCCCTACTGTTGAAACAAAGCATATACCTAATATTTGTGTGGTGTCCTTTATGCATGTTCAACCAGAAGTCTCTAATCGCTTTTTACTGTGACAATGCAAATCTTTTTTCATTTATCTTCTTTTGTTTGGTTCAAACTCTTCTCTTTGTGACTACTTCTGATTATGCTTATTGTAAACCTTCTATGACCTTGTCTTAAGGCCCCTCAGGCTAAAATCTGTTGGCAGTGATTTTTATGTACCTTTTATTGTGCTCCTGACATTGATTTCATTTGTTCTTATCTGCACAGAGCTTTAAGATTTATCATTTCAAAGTATTTATCTCTCTACCTATTACTTTTTTTTTCATTCTTTGCATAGTCATTCATAAGCACATCTTCTGCTCCTCTGACTTTTGCTATTTCTTTCACTAGGTCTTAGGAAAAAAGAATGAACTCTAATGTACC